TCTTTTCCTATGCCAATGTCTTCAAGAGTTCTGCCTAACTTATCTTCCAGCAAGTTTAGTGTAAAGCTCTGGTTTGGAAGTTAAGAAGAAAGGAGGAAGCCAACAGTTTGGGGAAGGCTCCATGTGAATACAATCTCATTTCAACCTTCAGTCTAATGCGCTAATGTTATTCCACACTGCAGATGAGGCACACTGGGGCTCAGAGGTGACGAAATCTGCTCCTGTTCAATTATCTAACAAAAAACTGTTTTGCTTTCTGGCTAGGCATAAAAATCATGTCCATGGGGCAATTTTTATATCTGTATGTATGGGGTATGGGAACCCTTAGTGCTTTTCGATCAATTTTGCTGTAAATCTAAACCTGCTTTAAAATAGTCTATGAATTAAAACATAGATCAGTTCCACCCATCTGGCTAAGTTCTTGGCTCTGGAAAACTATCCATTTAGGTATAGGGAAGAAAAGCTTATAGGTAGAAAAAGAGGCACATTTTTCTTACTCTCCCTGAGGAGCAGATCTAGGCCATCTTTTCAAGGAAGAAACTAAATGCATTTTGCTGTCAGTACAAAAGCCCAATCTGTGTAGATTGATGAAATCTACCCTTTTACTTTCTTGTATTTGCACGGATTAGGGCAGCTAAAGTGTGGCAGTGGAAGATTTCATATGTGAAGAAGAAGTGATGACTGGTATGAACCTGCAGTTCATAATCAAAGTGATACAAACTGGGATGGGTGTCTGTGTGTGTGTGTGTGAGTGTGTGTAATGTGCATGACACTTGACCTTCACTTGACATTGTGAGATTTTCAGTAAGTCTATATTTCCTCTTGTTACTGAGTTAAAATCTTCATTGAGGAGCTAAACACACACGTCTAGAACAGAGTGTAGCACACAGTAAAAATCATAACAAATAGCCATCAAATTGACAAATAATGAAATAGTCAAATAAATCAATAATTACAGCCACATTAGCATTGACCAAGACCAGCTACAAAACAGGCAATTTCTCAGTCCCCTACCATGCCTTTATTTTCCCTGTCTTGATATCTCACAGATCTGTGCTCTCCAATGTAAGACTGACACTTTTGCTATTACTGTATTATTGTGGAGGCTGTTATTATTTCCTACTATATTTTCTTTTTTCTCTTTGCTCTACCAAATTCCAATTATTCAAGGCAGGGAGGAAAGACACTGGCAGTGGTTACTACAGTGAAGTGGGTGTCAAGAGACCATCCCTCAGTGGGAAACAAACGGAAATTCCTTCTCTGCTGACTGTTTCCAGCCCTCGCCCACTCATTACTGTAGGAGGCTCTCGACAGAACCAGGAACCTGCGATGAGGGGGTTATGAAGCTGGATCTCATTTCCCAAACGCACCCAGACTCTCCCAGTACCTTTTAATCAGGTCCATCTCTGCCTGATCCCTCTTGGTAAGAAGAAGATTTCGGCTGTTTTCAAAGATGTCTTCAATCTGATCTGGCCAGAGGAACAGAGTGCTGTTCACTTCGATATCTTCTTCTGCAAAAAACACACAGTTGGTTCTGGAACACTGTTTAGCATAGGGGAATCCATTTGGCAGGACAAGAGACCAAGAGAAGTGGGTTGGAGTGGCAATGAATGGACAGACTCACTGTGGATGAATCTTAGCAAACATTTATTAAGAGTTTCTGAGAGGCCATGGTAGAAGGCAAATGGTATTATGCCCATTTTTACAGTGGAAACGAAAGTGGCTAAGCCAAGTGGCCAAGATTACACTGTTAAAAGGCAGAAGAGCACAATTCAAATAGGAATCTAATCAACTGCAAAGCTTATGTTTACTGCTAACTACTCTGTTTACTGTCTTCCTAAGCTAGGTCTGAGTAGAGGCAGAGACCTGGGTTGAAGTTCTGGTTCCACACTTCATACTGTCTTATCTTCCCCTTCTCAGTTTCCCTTTTGTTTAAATGGCAGTAATAGTATCAATGCTAGATGCCCTGCTCATTATAGCTCTGCTCAATTCAAAGACCTACGGTTTCCTTTTGAGACTGTCTCAAAAATAAAAAATAAAAAAGAGCTGAAGACATAGCCCTGGGTTCATTCCTCAGTAATACACACACACCCACACACACTCACACAGATAGTATGTATTAAGATTATACAAAGGTAAAAATCTACTAATTTATAAGAAGTTTCCTGCATTGGAAGTGACTTTTCCAAGTATATCACAGACACAAAATGCAAAAGCAAAAGGCCAAGTCTCCTTTTTATCGAACATGATTCCCTTTGTGTGACTCAAATTCCTGAGGACAAGAGTAAGGACTTAGTGCCTCTAGCATATAGGGACTCTTGAAAAGCAGCACTCCTGATATCTAGTGGTAGAATTCCTATCTCTCCTTTTTCCAACTCCTTATTCCTAAAAATATAAATACAGAATTTTTGTATGTCATACACAGATATTAAAATATAAACATCCATGTGCATATAAGGCACTGGACTTACGAGGCAAGTCTGCATAGTCCATCAGGAACTCTAGCCGTTCAGCTGCATCTTGAAGTTGCCTCCTGAGTTTGAACACAGTGACATCACTGGATTTCCTTAAGAATTCAATGAGGACTACCAGCTCCTCAGTGTTGGTGGGAATCTCGCTGACTTTGTCTGCAATGGCGCTGTACTGTTTACAAATGCTGCAGAAAAGAAAGGCCATCATTATCCTCATCATCTAAAATGACTTTGTTGCTAGCATGACTCATCATGTTAAACTCACACGATTCCTAATTAGAGACTAGAACAATGGCTTCCACCTTTTCTTTACCTGCAGATACTCATGCATAACATTCACATGCACACCTCTGCCGAGGGATAACAAAGTAGTAATGGTAATCGTGTGTGACACGTGTTCAGCCCTGACAAGTGCCATGCCCCATTTTAATCATTTACATATGTTATCTCATCTAATACTTAAGAGAATTAGGTATTGCTATTATCTACTTTTAATGATGGAAGAAAGGAAGTCAGAGCCACTTTATCCAATTTAAATGGAGTATAGTTGCCAGAGTCAAGATCTGAATTTGTTAACTGACTCTAAAGTTGCCATAATTTTAACATAAACCTCACTCTCATGGGTAAAATCCATATTGACTAAAATAATAACAAAAAATACCATCACTACCAATAACCATCTCTCACATTTTTACATTAAAGTGGCGCTCCAAATTCATTTGTAGTTACATCTCAACAGTTCACCAGCAAGTTTATCTTTATGTGCTGCAGGTTCCATGGCGATGGAAAGCTATTTTCAACTACTGGGACCACTATATCTAACTGCTCACCTCTAACATAAGACTGAAAAATAGGGCCGGGGATTTAGCTCAGTGGTTCTAGCGCCTGCCTTGCAAGTGCAAGGTCCAGAGTTCAATCCCTGGTACAAAAAAAAAAAAGACTGTGAAAAATAAAATTACAGGGATAATTTGAATATTTTCGCAAAGCAAATAACTGACAGTCTTCAACAGAAGTTGGCCGAAGCAGGAGGAGGATCACAAGTTTCAGCTTAGCCTGGACAAGTTGATGTCTCAAAAAAATAAAATAAAAAGGGATGAAGATGTAGTTCAGTGTGAAGGCCCTGGGCTCAATCCTCAGGAAAGAAAAAAGAAAGGAAAGGCATAAAGGTAAAAGAAGGAAGCAAGGAAAGAAAAAAGAAAGGAAGAAGGGAGGGAGAGAAGAATGAAAGGAGCAGGGAGGGGTGCAGAGAGAGGACAGGAAGGAAGAAGGAGTAAGCAAAGACTGCAGGATCTAAGACAAATTGTCAAAGGATGCTCTCAATCATCCTGTTTCAATCCCTACATAATATTTTGGACTGCTCACTTCCCAGCCTGAACCTGAGCTTCCTGTCACTCTTACTCAGGGGCAGAAAAACTTGAAGCAGAGGTTCAGTGTGGTCATTGCTGGAAGGCACACATGCTGGTCACTTTCCCATTAATACCATTGCTATTTGCACTGTTATAATACCTGGAGTTGGTGTTGCGGTTTACATCCACTTGGTACTGAATCAGACGGTCTTTAAGATTTTGTGCTCGCTCACAGAGATCATAATTTAGGATCATGGCATCCAGACAGAACATGGCTAAAGGCACAGTAATATGCATGGATGCAATTTCATTTCTCCGCTTTTTTATGCTATCGATCTTCTGTAAAAAGGAGCACATTCAGTAACTTAATTTGCCTTTGAGCCTCTACTCCCACCCTTAAGCCCAACCAACACACTAATTCAATATGGAAACAAACTGACTACTCATTGGATTGACTGTAGTATATGTCATCAAGGTATGAAATATCAAGTGGCATCTCCTACCATCACAAAATCTTCAATTTCATGATTTTCTTTCAGGAATTCAGTGATGCTTTGCTCTGCTGTGTTATCCAGTAAGTCGTCATACTTTTTGTACACATTTAAGTATCTTCCATATTGAAGAACATGATGTTAAACACACAAATACAGGTTAACAAATCAGATGAGTCAGATTGGCAATTGAAATAGATAACAGCATAAAAAATTAACTCAAATGAGGACAGAGAAATGCAATGTAGCAAAAGGTTCACTGAACTAGTAACTCAGAATTCCTACTCCAATTTTGTCACTTCTTCACTCTATGAACTTAGACAAGCTATTTCGCTTTTTCAAAAGTCAGTTTTTTCAATTCTAAGTAGAAACAATCATTGGTACCTTATAGGATTTTATAAGTCCTAACTTTAGTAGTACACTGACTTACAATGAATGTACAATTACATTAGTTTTCATTCTCTTTTCCAGCTCCAAAATTTATGTCTGATTATTAAGATGAAAACTTGGAATTAGAGTGTATTAAGTTTCTCTGCTTTCAAAGCATGTAAAAATAATGAAACAGATTTTCCCAAAATTAGAGGATATGTCTAGGATTTTTGGGGGGTACGGGGGATCGAAGTCAGGTCCTTGCACTTGAGAAGCAGGCAGCAGAACCACTGAGCTAAATCCTCAGCCCATTTGTTTTTTGTTTTTTTGTTTGTTTGTTTGTTGGTACTGGGGCTTGAATTTCGGTCCTTGCATTTTTTGAGGCCGGTGCCAGATTCACTGAACTAAATCCCCAGCCCTCTAGGATGTGTTTAAATTAAAACAAAGTGATGCTAAGTAAGTAGAATCAACACAGTAGGACCTGGAGGTATATTTCAAATGTAGGCAAGAATAGCAGAGACTTTGAAATTGAGATACAAATAGAAGTGCATATAACTGCTAGTCCATAAAAAACAAAGTAAATGTATAAGACTCCTTGAACAGAGAAAACAGAAGCATCAAAGAGAAGTCCTCAAATCAAATTCAGATCAGATTAGCAGTTTTTCTCCACTTGCAGTAATTTGCCTAGCAGGGGTATTTGGTAATGTTTGGAGACAGTATTAGTTGTCACAATTAGGAGGTTCCTACTAGTACACAATGGGTAGTGGCAGGAGATGCCACTAAACATCTAATCAGAGGACAGCCCTCCATGATATAGAATTTTCCCATTGAAAATGTTAACAGAGCAGTCAAGAAACACTGGATTAAGATGACCAAATGTCTTGATTTGTCTGAGACAAACAGTTCCCCCAAGACAGACCTCTGCCCAACCAGAAGGGAACCCCCACCCCACAAGCAGACCTGCTACCTGCATCCTTGGAAGCACAGAGATAAAACCAGCAGCCACCCTGCTGCTCTCACTACAGCCCTGTTTATCAGACAGCCCCTGGCCCATCATCCACAGGACTCTAAAATTTTCCACTGTCTCAACCAGCACCTCCCACCCTACCCATATTTCCCTATAACAACCATGCACACCCTCCTCTCAGTGCCAACAGCCTCCTCACCCTTAGCCCATCTGCACCCAGATGGCAATAAACTCATCTCATGTTGCTTAGACTTTGCCTGCTTCAATCGTGCGTCAGTCTGACCTTACAGTTTGCAGCTGTTATCCCCTGGAAACTACTACAATACGCCTTTCATTCTTTAAAAGTCTCAGTTTGGAAGCTACATATACAATCACCCCAAACTAAGGTTCATATGAACAACCGCAGGATGTTCTAGAGTGTGATGTGGAAAGAGCTTGGCCTAGGGAATCAGATAAATCTTTTCTTCCATTCCAAATTCCAAAAGCTCTGAAGAAACCTGCACCAAAATTCATTTGGTGGCAGAAAGCCACCTAAATGGATGGAGGTTACTGATGTGAATATTTGTAGGTTTCACAGCAGAAATACGAGTATTGTTGCTCTAGACCATGTAGAAGCTACAGCACAGTATATAACAGATGCATTAAATGACTTTTTTTAATCCAGAAATTGTTAAATGTCAAAATCTATCTGGTCCCACAGCTTTTAGATAATGGAGATAAACCTCTAAATGAATTTGATTCTTGGATTTCCTATTTATTTGCAGTACAACATTGAGAAAATTACAGCTTCCTCACCTGTAAAACAGGAATGAATGGTAATACTCATGCAAGTATTGGCTATTCTTTACTATGTATATGCTTTATGTGTGTAACAACAGCTATCATCTATTTGATGATAGTTAAAAACAATTCCAGGCCAGATTGGTCCCAACACTCAAGGGCGGAGGCGAAAGATCACTTGAATCTGGGAGTTTGAGACCAACCTGGACATTATAGAAAGACCTCAACTAAACAACAAACAAACAAACAAACAAAAACAATCAGTACCAAAAGTGTCAGGCCTGCCCTAAAGCAACAGGAAAAATAAACAGGCTGCTTTTAGCGAAGACCAGCAGTGTTGTAGTAAGTGAGGTAAATGGACTAAAAAATATGGTTTATAACACCCTGGCCCTGAAAAGTCCAGTAATTGTATACACCCCTGAACAGACCATCCTTGGGCAGCTAAATCATAAATATGTCACCCCAGATTCCTTAGCCTTCAATGCCTATAGAAGCCTAATTCCTTTCCCAGTTAAATGTTAATGTCTCTCTCCCCTGGTGTCAGCCCATCCTCTCAGGGATGAAATCTCTTTCCCATTGTCAGCCTATCCACACACGGGTGTGATAAACTCGCTTTTTCCAACTAGCTGCTAAAATCTTCTGATTTCTAGTTCCTGTTAACTGGAATAAACTTTTCTTTTTCTCAAGAGGAAGAGCCTGTTTTTGTTGACAGGTGGATTATTTATAACAAAAAGACAAGTTACAACTTACTTGTGGGGGCCAACTTGATTTTTCTGAAATACTTCAAATGTTTGATCCACAAAATCAGCAACACGTTTTTCATTCATGTTAACAGTTCCAAGGGTCAGGTTATATCCTTTCAACTCTGGGAATAGGATAGATTCCACCTAAAGAGCAGAAGGCAAGATGTAAGATAGTACCAAAATGCAAAATCTCCAGCAATGGGCTCACTTCCAGGAATGCCAGCACCACTGTAAAAAACTATTTCTTACGTTTTTCATTCATGTTAACAGTTCCAAGGGTCAGGTTATATCCTTTCAACTCTGGGAATAGGATAGATTCCACCTAAAGAGCAGAAGGCAAGATGTAAGATAGTACCAAAATGCAAAATCTCCAGCAATGGGCTCACTTCCAGGAATGCCAGCACCACTGTAAAAAACTATTTCTTCCTAATGAGATAACTGACATTGTGAAATGGGAAGACAAGGGCTAAAGGTGTAGGGAAAGTGGGAAGGGCAGGGGAAAGGTAATAAGGGAAAAGAAAAAAAAATATGGAAAAATGAAAATAAAGCGTTTGTTAATGGGGAGGAAAGGAGGGGGTGAAGGGAGGGCAGGGATAAGGGGGAAAAATGAGAACCAAGACCTGTCATGTAAAGGTACAAGATCCCAATAATGAAAGTAACTACTGTATATCTAAAATGTACCAATAAACTAAAAAATATATTTTTTCCATAATGTTGGAACTAACCTGCTGTTTCCTCCATTCCCCCCCCGTCTCTCATTCTTGGATGGATTACTTTTAATTCCCTGCTCCTTTCAAGTCTCTTATGTTCAGAATCCTCCTGGCCTCTTCAGAGAATCTTGGTCCCTTTCCCTATAGAAACCTCATTTTTTGAACGTTTTCTTCTTGGCACTTATCACCTACAATGGATGAATGTGTGATGAGCTGCTCTAGGTGTGACTTGGAACAGTGCTATGAGAACCTGGGCATTACTTCACTTCTTTGTTGTGTGCTCAAAGTCTAGCTAGAACTTGGCATTTAGTGAATGCTCAATGAATACAGTATTGTGTGATTAAATGAATACTGTGGTGATGTGCTCCTTCTTCTCCCTCAGTACTCACTTTCCTCTCTAATGAAAGCTACTGGAGACACAGGTTCTAATTCTGACTCTATCTAACACACTAGGTAAACTACTACTCTTGGAACCGCCATATTCTCATCTGTTAATATTCAAGGGAACCAAAGCTATGACTTTATGATCATAAGGCCCTAAGAGTATCTTTCCTGAGAGCTGAAACTCTCCGACTTCTTAGTGGTACATTTGTGTCTCCAAGCATGTTATCATTTGCATGACTCCTGCAGGCTGCAAAGTTCTGCTGGGGACCCACAAATTCCTAGTACCCTCTTTGCTAAGACAGTTTTTAGTGAATGACTGCAGAAAAGATCTTCAGACTGATTTCCTAAGTTATATGTCTTTGGTGAGAATGCATTAGTTTAGAAAGGCGAGAAAGAGAATACAAATGATCATTGCCATCTTTGAATACCCAAAGGTATTCAAAACACTGGATGTGCAACTTCTTTGCAGGGGCCACATTTGCAGACAGTGGCTGAAGGCAAGAAGATGGAGAAACTGGCATTGGTCAATGGTGAGTGTGCAATGGCTTGGGCAGCACAATCGGTGCCCCAGGCCATGCAACAGGTCCCACGTGAGCAGGACAATGGATCATCTCTTGAGAAGAAATCTTCCATCAAAAAAAGAAGGTAGTTTTTTTTGCCATTCTCCTATGCCCGGGAGTGCAGTCCAGTCCTTTCTAGGTAACTATTGTAACAATTATTTTCTGGATCTCTCCCTGATTCTTTCTTTGAAAGGCTTTCTGATCCTGGACTCTTTAGCCTTGTCATCACCTTCAATGCTGGCATCTGTGTATTGTTTTACTTTGGCATTCCAGGGACAGAATTCTCCCGTGAGAAGAGATACTGGCCCTTTTTTCATCGAGATAGGTACAGGGGGAACTGGTGCATATACATATATATATATTGAACTGTGATTGTTTTTGTTTCCCTCCTTTCTCTCATTTCCCCTATCTCGAGATGCCCTTCCAATCCTTTCAAAGAACCAACTCTTAGATTCATTAATCCCTTGTATTGCTTTTTAGTCTCAATTTTATTAATTTCCACTCTGATCTTTATAATTTCTTTCCTTTTATTGATTTCAGATTTGGATTACTCATCTTTCTAGGACCTTGAGATATATCAGTTTATTTAGGATCTTGCTATTCTTTTTATGTGTACAATTACAGCTATAATCTTCCCTCACTATGCCCCACAGATTTTGATGTGTTATGCTTCCATTGTAATTTGATTCTATATATTTTAATTTTTTCCCTGACCATTGATTATTCAATAATGTATTATTTAATCTCCATGTGTTTGCATGGTTTCATTGGTTGTTGATTTCTAGCTTTGTTCCACTATTACTTGATATTATATAGAGGATTATTTCAATTCTTTTGTATTTATTTTCTGGCCTAAGATATGATCCATTTTGAAAAAAGTTCCATATGTTGTTCAGAAAAATCTGTATTGTTAGAAAAAACACTCAGCAGATATCTGTTAAGTCCATTTGTTCAGTGATGGCATTTGACTTTGATGTCTCTTTGTTGATTTCTTTTTGGTCTGGCTGAACTAATAGTGAGAGCGGGGTATTAAAGTCCCCTGTAATGATTGTATTGGTGTCAGTCTGTCCTTTTTAAGTCCAACAGTTTTTGTTTTATGAAGTTGGATGTGCCAACATTCAATTCATAGATATTTACCCATATCATCTTTTTCTTTTGAACTATTCCCTTTACTAGTGAGTACCAGGCATCTTTGTCTCTTCTGATCAATTCTGGCTTGAAGTCTGCTATGTCTAATAATAAAATAGCTACTCCTGCTTATTTTTAAGCTTTAGTTAAATGGAATATCTTTTCCATTCTTTCATTTTCAGTTTATAAACTTCCTTTTGGATGAGGTATATATCCTGTATGAAATATAGAACTGCATTTTGGTTTTTTATCCAATTAGTCAAACTGTGTCTTTTGACTAGGGAGTTGAGACCATTGACATTAAGAGTTTCTACTGTGCTCACTTCAGCAGCACATATACTAAAATTAGAATGATACAGAGAAGATTAGCATGGCCTCTGTGCAAGGATGATGCACAAATTCATGAAGCATTCCATATTTTTTGTAATAGCTAAAACTCGGAAACAGCCCAATTGTCCATCAACCGGAGACTGGATAAAGCAGATATGGTTTTTCTATAAAATGGAGTATTACTCAGCCATAAAGAATGAGAAATTACAGTCATTTGTAGCTAAATGGATACATATTGAGGCCATACTCTTAAGTGAAATAAATAGGACACACATATATAAATACTGAATAGTTTCTCTGGTGTGAAAAACTAAAAATGTAAATTAGGTTCAAATGGTATAATTGATAATGTGAAATAGGAAGAAAAGTGCTAAAGGAGTAGGGGAAGTGGGAAAGGTAGGGAGGAAGGAAAGAAGGGAAAAGAAAAATTATGAGAAAAGGAGAAAATGGAAACCAAGTCTTTGTAAATAGGGAAGAGTAGAGGGGGTGAAGGGAGGGCAGAGGTATAGGGGGGAAAAAAGAACCAAGATACATCATGTAAAGGTACAAGATCCCAATGATGAATGTAACTGTACTGTATACCTTAAAAGTACCAATATACTCAATGGAAAAAAATTAAATTAAATTACATCACATTTTTTAAAAAGTGTTTATCAGTAAGGTGTTTATTGAATCCTGTCACTGCATTGTTTTTTCACTGCTGATCCTCTTTTTTTCCTTTTCTTTACTCTCCTAGTTAGATGTATACTTTCTTTTGAGCTCTTTGTTGCTGGTGGCCTCCCTGTCTCTGTTTAGTATTCCCTTAAATACTTTTTGCAATGCATTTAAGATTTTTTTTGTCCCGAAAAGTCTTTACTTGTCTATTTTCAAGGCTAATTTTGCAGTGTATAAAAGTCTGAGTTGACAATTGTTTTCTTTTAGGGCATGACAAACTTCGATCCAAACTCTCTGGGCCTTTCAGGTTTGGCTGAGAAATCTGCAGTTATTCTGATAGGCTTGCCTTTATGGATTACTTGTTGTTTTTCAGTTGTTACTTCAGTTTTTAGCATTTTTGCCTTTTGTTAAATTTCTGGAATTTTTATTATGATGTGTTTTGGAGAGGTACTTTTCCGGTCATGGCTATTTTGAGTCTATATGGTGCTAGTACTTGAATATGGAATTCTTTTCCTGGATTTGGAAATTTTTCTGCTACGATTTCAGTAAACAACTTTTTATACCTTTTGAGTCATCTTTTAATTTTTCATTTATTCCTGTAATTCTTGGATTTAAGAAATTTTTGAATCATCCAGCAACTGTTGGATCTAGCTTACATGGTATCTTGTCATTTTTAGGGTATCACTGAGTTTTTTTATCTACTTCATCCACTTTGTCTTCTATTTCTGACACTCTGTTAGAAATAACTTAACATTGGTGACGTCCACTGAATTTTTCTGAAATGGGCATTCATGTCCTATAGTGTATTGCTTAACTCAATTAGTTTATAGTTCATTTCTTCTTTAAGCTCATCAAGCACTTTATTAGTAAAATCTGTTATCTGTTTAAGTTCTTTGATCTCACAAACATTATATACATTTACTTATATATTTCTTCTTTTATCTCCTCAACTGTTTTGATCATTTTATTTTTGAGTTCTCTGCCTATATCTTTCCCTTCTTCAGTGTCCATGAGATCAGCTTTGGGGAAGTTAGGAATTTTGGAAGCATTCTGTTGCTTTGCTTTCTCATGTTTCTATTGTTTTTGTGCTGTGGGTTGAAGATGAGGTAGGGTAGAGAAACTGTCCCTACTGTGGCAATCTCTTTAGTTAGATTATGCTTCCTTATGATATATCCTTGGGCTTGGTTATGTTTTGGTGTTTATAATCCCTTTCAACATATTCAGCATAATATTTGGGGGTCTTCTTAGTGTTCAACCTTTTCCTGGGGGCTTGATCCCCAGTACCACTCAGAAAGGAGAAAATGAACCACAGTAATGTTGAAGATACAAAGGAAAGGGAGATCCTGGCATACAGTGGAAACCAAGTAAAAGCAATGATTATGCCTCAATTAACAAAAGAAGAGAAACCAGCAATAATAGTATGAATTCTTTTTTTTCCCCATCAGTACTGGGGATCAAACTCAGGACCTTGCTCTTGCAAGGCAGGTGCAGTGCCAATGAGCTAAATCCCCGGCTTGACAATAATAATAGAGTCAAAGACAAATCAGTTATTGATATATCATAAGAATGACTAAGAGCTACAACTATACCATCCTTAACAATAGAAAAGAGATCTGCAATAATGTAGACACAAAGACAAACTATTGACATATAGTAAGTATCTACTAAAAGCAACAACTATACCACCATTCACAATAGAAAAGAATTTAGCAATAGTATCGTAGCCAACCAAATAGCTAAAAGTTAATAAAGCTTAATAGTAAAAATAAAGATGGAGAGGTAAGGGAAGGCGAAAAGTAAGGAAGTAAAATTTGAAAAAGAAAAAAGGAAGACAAGAAAGAAGAAATAAAAGTGAGATTTAAAATCTGATTAAAGAACAAAAGGAAGTTAATAGGATTAGTGGGGAGAGAGGAGAGGGAAACAAGATAAAAAGGGGAATTAAAAAGTGTTATGTACATGTATAACCCCCACACAAGGAATGTAAAAATTATGTACTGCAAATATGTACTCATAAGTAAATAATCTAATAAAGGAATAGAATTGGGTAAAAGTAACAGAAAAAAAAAGACAAACAAGAAAAGAAAAATAAAAGGCTAAAAACAAAAAGCAACTGTTATGAAAAAAATAAACAAAACAAAAAAACAAAAAATTTCTTCATGTGTTTGGGTAAGGGATTTCTTTCCAGGGCCTGAGGTATCCATCAAATATGGGTGGGGGATACTGAGTCACAACTAGAGCCTATTTTGTTTCCATGCTGTGTGGATGCTGAATTGCCCCCTGCCTTTCCCACTGGGCCTGGTCAGTCAATGGTGTGTTGTCTGCCTTAGGGCTATATTCACTCTAGTGACTCTTAAGTGTTTGTGCCCTACTGTGTCTCCCAAGTCACTGCTATCACCAACAAGCTCTATGTCAACAAGCTCAGGAGGTATATCCCTTACTCCAGAGCCTCCTCTGTCCATACACCCCAGGATGTGGCAACCATCCAAGCCAAGGCATATTCTTGATCACACTGGCAGAAAGAAAAAGCAAATAGACCACTGAGATCTGTGCTGGAAGTAGACAGTGAGGACCAAACAGTCCATTTGACTTAATGTCAGCATTTTTAGAACCAGTCCTCTCAGAAAATCACAGTTGGTCTGGTTTTCTCATCCCAAAGGGTGCAGTCTTTGTGTCCTTCACACCTTAACCACTGATTAAATTTCTCAGGGAATCTGGGACTAGCCCACCTCTTCTCCTGTAACTGCTTCTTGTGGCCATCTCCCACCCAGTTACTGTGGTAAGGTGACCACAGAGATCCTGAAATGAAGTTGTTCTGTGATTTCTGATTATTGGAGTACATCAGTCTCAAAAAATAAATCCTTTTCCAAAATGGCTTCTGAATATATCACTCTCAATTCAGACACTGCAGTGAATTTCTTCTCCAACTCTAGCATGCCCTGCAGAAGGATTCACTTTCAGAGTAAAACTCCATATTGTACTTGTAGCTTACAATAACCATGGGCTTTCATTGGGGCCAGTAATGCCAGTCTATTGTTTCTCCCTAGGACTTTGGGCCTTCTCTGGGCTCACCTTGTGTTTGCAGAGACAAAGATCTTTCCCACTGGGAAAGATCTCCTTTTCTGAAGTCAGGATTGGCATTCCAGACTCCTTTGTTCTTTTGTGTGTGTGTTGCCTTCAATTTCTCTAATTTCGCTTTAGTTTCTAGTTCTCCTGTCAGCTTTTTCTTGATTCCTGGAGCCCAACTTCTTTTTCACTTCACTAAGTTGTTTTTTCCAGGTGTCTCTATTCCAGGTCCTGGAAAGACTGTATTTTTTATTTTTATTTTTTATTAATACAAGTTTTCAATACATAATGACTATATTCCTCATGGGGAGTTGGTATGTGTATATAACACATCTCAACTTATTTTTCATCTCCTTCTACTCCCTCCTCTCCTTTCCCCTCCTCTTCTCCCTCCATCTCTTGGTCCCTTTCCCATTTTCAAAAGAGCTGTCTCACTGTTTCCTATTATCTATCTTTTATTTTGTTCTCTATTTAAATTTTGGGTTTTTCATATAAAAGAAAACACATGATACTTAAGCTTGTGTGTCTTATTTCACTTAACATTATGGTCTCCACTTTCTTACAAATGACTCAAGTTTCTCCTTTATAGCAGAATAGTACTCTATTCTGTATACATATCACATTTTCTTCATCCATTTATCTCTTGTTGGACAAGATTGCTGGTCATAAAATACAGAGGACCCTTAACTGAGGTTTCTGAGGGCTGGTTGTAACTTAAATTGCTTGTAAGTCAATACAGCTGAGATCTGGATGTTTATCTGAGTACACACTATGGATAACAAGAGGCATGTGAATATTCCATTAACCTAATTAACCCATGTTGCTCATATGTCAGGGCAGTCATAATTCGAGGGTTCACTGTAGAACCTCTCCAGGTCATTGCTATGTCTTGCACAACCATTTTAACATATTGTATGAAACAAAAAGAAAAATACAAATGAATGATTAAGTGAATACTGTACCTTGGGGATCCCATCAGAGTTCTTAATAATTTCCAAGAAAGAGTTGGTTATTAATTCCCAGCAGTCATCAAAAGATGGATTGAAGACAATTCTGGGTTCACTGACTTCAAGTTTGATCATGATCAGCTGAGGTATAAAGAACTTCATCTCTTGGTACGGCTCCTCAAAATCATTTCCATCCTTCAAAAGACATAAGGTATGGCATACTCTTAAGTGAAATAAATAGGACACACATGTATAAATACAAATAGTTTCTCTGGTTGAAAAACTAAAAGTGTAAATAAGGTTCAAATTGTATAACTGATAATGTGAAATAGGAAGAAAAGGGCTAAAGTAGTAGGGGAAGTGGGAAGGGTAGGGGAAAGGAAATAAGGGAATAGAAAAATTATGTGAAAGGATAAAATGGAAACAAAGTCTTTGTAAATGGGGAAGGATGGAGGGGGTGAAGGGGGACGGGGTATGGGGAAAAAATAAGAACCAAGATACGTCATGTAAAGGTACAAGATCCCAATGATGAATGGAATTATACTGTCTACCTAAAAAGTACCAATAAACTTAATGACAAAAAAGAAGACATAAGGTATGGCAAATACCATAAAATTGGACCTTTCAAAGTCAAGGAAGTGAATGTTAAGCATTCATAGTGCTACTTTGTCACCAGAAAAGGAAATGCGTGTTAATTGCGTACTGTTCAAATATGAGCTGGGATAGCCTACACCCCACCCTGAGCTCATGCTGTCTCCCTTTCCTAGAGCCTTTATTCAGTATCATTTATTTTGCTTAGTTCTTTCCGCACTTAATTTCTCAATCCTTTCTATCCTTCAAAATTCAGCTCAAAGTTCCACTCCTCTAGGAAGCCTCCCAGTTCCTTACCTGCACAAAATTCCCTCCACGTCTGAATTTCCATACTTCCACCCCCTGCATGGTATTTTATCTTTGTCTTTTGAAGGGACTTACATACATATCTTTCCTTCTCTATTCTAAACTAAATCTTGAAGACAAAGTTTATGTTTCATCCATCTCTTTCCTCCTAAGACAGCACTTAGCACATGAGGTATTCAATAAAAATCTGCTGACAGGATCCAAAAGTATGAATACTTACCTGTATTCCTCAAATAGCATTGTTAATAAGCCATCTGAAATGAGTCTTTCAAGTACTCAAGGGTCAACCTACCTACAACAAAAATACTGATGTAGAGGTACCTTTGATTACGCACAAAAGCTAGAAACAAAAGATATCTTTCATAAACTACAGTGCCTAGAAATTTCCAGAGGGAAGCTGTAAAGACTTGTCCAAATAATTGATTTTGGAGATTTTTAGATCTGTTTAAGGAAGACTGATAAACATTTATTGAACATCTACTGTGTATCAAATACTCATAAATTCCTCCTTCCCTCAGACATATAAATATTTGACTTTTCTCTTTGTGTGGCATTTTAGAGTGAAATTTCTGTGCACAACTGGGTTTCTTCTGCTGAGCAAAGGAGATGCTTACCACAATAACTATAGAGTGGTTCTCTAGTGTAAATATTGTAGTCAAAAGTCAGCAACATTGATTTCTACCTTTTCTGAGCAGAGTCAATTATTCACTTGTACTTTATTTGGAAAAATGCTTAGAGCTTAATCTTTTATAATCAGATAATTTTAAATCTGCATTGCTTGGAACAAATGTGATAACATAAAATTAATTTTAAAAATACAAAGTAGGGCAGGGATTTAGCCCAGCAGTTCGGTGGCCTGCCTTGCAAGCGCAAGGCCTGAGTTCAATCCCCAGTACCAAAAAAATAAATAAATAAAATTAAATAAAGTAAATAAAAATACAAAGTAAAAAAATTGTATTGCTCTTTTCTAAGGTGAAATATACACATGGTATAAAATTTACAAGAATTTTCCTTTATCCCTCAGCTATCTAAACCGAGGTGCTTTGATGCTTTGAAAGCTAGGATTTCATGCTTTCATACTTTTTCTTTCTGAGGCAAGGTCTCACTAAGTGGTTCATGCTGGCCTTGAACTCATTGTGTAGTCTAGGCTGCCCTCAGATTGGCAGAGATCTTCCTGCCTCAGTCTCCTGAGTTCTGGGATTACAGACATGCCTCATGGTTTAACGTTTTATTTTGACTTCACTTGAGTAATTCCATGAAAAAAGTTATTAATTGGGTCAAAAAAGCCTTTTGTTTGTGGAGGGTCTTCTTTCAAAGGCCAAAAAACAAAAATCCCTATTTTCAATGAATTCAGAGCATAGTTCTTAAATATCAAACCAAAGGATCATAGCAAGTTTTTTTCTATTTGTTTCTTATACCATAGAGGAAAAAAGTGACCACACTCACACTGTAAGAGGTATGTATTATATCTGATGTAATCTTTCCTTTAATTTTCTTTATAACCTCTCTACTTTCATAGATTTTTACCAATTTAAGAGTGGGTAAATATCTCACAAAAGCATACTGTGTACTAAAGACATAATTTTTATAAACCAATAATCACCCAATATGTATTCAAATCCAGAATTTTCCTTTTTGGCCTAGATCACAGCTCAGAATATCCATGCTGGAATCCTAGTCCAAAGTGGCTAGTTTCCTTCAAGAGAGCTGTGTGCTGATCCCCTACATACCTTGTGTATCATGAACAAGGAAACGAGATCTTCAAGGGACTTGATGACCAATTCTCTGAGTTGGAGTGACATGAAGGAAGCAACAGAAGCAAAATATTCCTCAATATTTCGAGATGAGTCATAGTCGCTCTTAGGAGCAAAGTGGACCCAGTGTTCCTTCCATGAGACAAAAAGCTGGGTACAAGTGGGGATCCACCTGTGAACATAGGCAGGCATCCATACAGGTAGCTTTCTGAGCTTCAGGGACCCCTTTCAGCCACCTCCCTCTGCTCTCTGTGATGAGGCAGATAGTTCACTTCCCACTAAGCAGCCTTGGAAATTATTCATTTCATGTTCTTGGTCACTTCACCTGTCAAGACCCCTTTCCTGGAAAAAAACAGTATTTGAGTTGAGAGACTGTTCTCTTGACCATACATAGTGGACAGGGGACATGGTGGTATGTCCAGCTGCAACAGTCTGCAGAACCTGCATTATAATCAGAGACTGGGGTGAAGGAGCATAGGGAACTAGAATTTTTGGTCCAGCTTCTCTCTCTAGTAGTGGTACCTGATTTAGACTTTATAGATGAAAAGACAGAAAGAGGAGAAAAGGAAGTAAACTTGAGAAAAGAAAATTCAGTGTGGCAATGGCTGCTGAGCGTTGTGAACAAAAACTAGACAACCGAAAGGAGTGCCTCATTGTGTCTTTCCTCTCTCTTTCCTAATTTCTAATTCCCAATGGGAACCACTGGCCATTTCATCCTATTATGTCTCTTTTCTGATTGCTAAAACAGTACTACTCTAGCAATCAAAAAGTAACTAGTAATAGTAATAGCTCTAAAGGGAATAATTAAGATATTTATCAAGCACCTCCTATGTGCCAACTGTTACATAGATACCTTTTCTCTGATAATAAAAACCCATCAGTGGGCATTAGTATCATCATTTTATCTAAAGTCATTTCTCTAAATTAAGATATGGTCTCACATGCATTTGCGAAAGGATGAAAAAACTAAGTGTCTGAAAAATGAACCTTGTAACCAGGGGGCTGTATACATAAACCATCTGAATATCAGTCATTCAAATGCACTTTCCTGTAACCCATTGAGGTTCATAGGATTCAGACAGAGGAGATGACAGTGGTACCCTCACTAAGAGCATAATGAGAGGTTTATGAAAGAGAGTCAGAGCCGGGGAGTAAAAGGCATGGAGAAGCTCATCATGAGGCTGCTTGTAGATAGGAATATGAGAGAAAAGGATGTCAGTGAGAAGTCAGCAAACTGTGTGACGCCCAGATGAGACACCAGTTTTCACTGCAGAGAGTTTTTGATCTTTGCAATGCCGTGACATAGCCCCATCCCAAGGCCAGGTACTGACTTGCTGAGGAGAATCTGGCGCGCCTCTGCGCAGTGCTTGCAGATCACATCCCAGTACTCATCAGGCTGCAGAGGAAGTTCTCCTGCCAGCAATTCTGCTGTTCGAACAAACCTGAAGTCTCTAAATCTGCAAAAGAGAGTGAAAAACTTCCTAAGTGGAATGACTAATAACAAATTCTGCAGGACAGGTTCAAAGGGCACAAGTTCTCATTTCTCAGTGAAAGGAAACCAGAGCAGAGTAAGATGTATTATATCTGGAAAATCTGGAAGTCTGAGGAAAGAATGGCTGGTCCAAAGGAAGATACTATGGTTCAGATCTAGACTGCCCCCCAGAACTCTCTGTGCTCAGAGCTGGGGCTCTGGAAACATGATTGGCTCTTGGGGGGCACTAATGAGTTTAACAGCTGAGTAGGCAATTCGGAGGTGGGGCCTGCATACAGGCCGGTCACTGGGGGCAGGGACATGACCTGGAAGGGTGTATCTTTCTCCCCAGCCCCTTCCTCTCTTTGCTCTCTTCTTCCTGAGCAGCTTTCTCCCCCAGACCTTTCCACTATGCACACCCAGTTCATGTTCTTCCTGGACACTTTTGCTTGCTATGCGTGGGTCCTCTGCACTGCCTGCTTTCTGCAGTTATCCCTTAAATATCCTCAGTGCTAACTTCCTCACCTTCAAATCTTGGCTCCCATGTCACCATCGTAGCAAAGGCTATCCATGATATATGGCTGTGCACACTGCTCTGGCTAAGGGGCCAGAAACACTATCATTTCTCAAAGTGATTGGACAAGGATCTATGCCCAATCTTTAGCTCATCTTAGTTCATCTCCACTTTAATGACACTTTTCCTCATCCTCCAAAAATCCTGAAGCCTACATTCTAGTCCTCCATGCAGGTGATGAACCTGGTCTTCGTGGTGGCCAGGTACAGAGCACTGCCAGAAGCAGCCAGAACCCTGAGGACCCCACTTGCCACACGTGTTTAATAGCCAGAGGACGGCTCTTATCACCACCTGGCCATTTTACTCATCTTTAAAAGAATCCTAACAAAAATCTCACACTGGCCAGACCAGGATTTTCTACTTTTCTTCAGACTGTTACCCTCATTCTATCTGTCAAGCTCCAACCTTCACTGATCTCTAAGACCTCTCAGGTTTTCTTCCCTTAGAATTTAAGTTACATAGTGCAGACCACATAAGAAAACCGCTCTCTGTCATTTTCTTAACAAATCTTTCTCATTGCTGAGTTTGGGGACTAAACTGACAAAAGTCTTCTAACTGATTTTAGTTCACTGTGGGGGTGGTCTCTGCCTAATCTTCCTCAGAGAAGTATGAAAACTAATGTCAAGAATTTTTTCTTCTCAGTAGAATCAACAGGTTCACTGATCCACTACCTTTGCTACATGAGCAAATTAAACCCATGTGCACTTCCTTCCTGGTTATTTTCTCAGTACTGAGCTCCTGGCAGTTTTACCAGCTCTAAGAGTGACTCCTCATTAATTCCTAGGTTAATTTTTTTGAGGACATAAGCATGTTTGTATTTAAAGTAATAGCTTTACTGCATGGGCATAGTATGCCAAGCACTTCTCTAAACAATTTTACTCAACATATACAAAAACAGTCACAGAGGGATTAATTTTTCCAGAAATCACACAGTTAATTTGTGATCAAACAAGAACCACAACCCAGGCAGTAGCTTCAGTAGCCAATTCTACAAATTATTACTCTATATACACTTCTGCCTGCTTAGAAAATTACTCCCCCACCACCCAGGATTCAGGCTGGTACCTCCAATGCCTTGAGAATTTAATTCAGAGGAGAGAATGTGGTCTCTGATGTTTATCACTGATGGGCTCTGGCTGATTTCACTCTTAATTTCTTTTTCAAGATATAAGTAAATTTGTGAGAAAAAAATTAGACAAATAAGTTCTCCAAACCACAAGGCTCCTTTAAGACTAAACACGCTCAGTCAGAGATCCTCCTAAAACAAAATTTATGGGCCACTGATAAGTTCAGCCAACCAAAATCAAGCACACGTATCCTACCTCTAACTTTTCTATTTAAGAACCCAGAAAGTGGCAGTTAACCAGATAACTAGCCTGACCTTTCAGTAAACTCACTTTCTTGAAGGGCCTATAAACAAACAAACAAACACAAACTCCGGTATTCTCTTCTTCCGGAATGACTATGGAATGTATAAATAAAATTTGGTATAGCCACACAATAGGTTATTATTCAGCCATGAAAAGGAATGTAGTACTGATACATGCTTCAATGTAGATGAACATAGAAAACATTGTTTAATGAAATAAACTAGACACAAAAGGTCAACTTTATGTGATTTCATTTATACGGAATGTCCAGAAGAGACCGAGTCTCAGGGACAGAAAGCATGAGTGGTTGCCAGGGGCTGACAGGAAGGATAGACAATGACTGCTAATAGGTACAGGGTTTTTTCATGGAATGGAGAAAATATTCTAGCCAGGGGAAAAGCTTACAAAAATATGTGAATATACGAAAAAGTACACCATTGTGCACTTTAAAAGGGTGGATTTTATGGAATGTGAATTACAGCTGGCCTCCAGGTCAGTGGGATCCACATGCGCTGATTCAACCAGCCATGGATGAAAAATATTTGAGAAACAAATTGCTCCTGTAGGTAGACACTTTTCTCGTGTCATTATTTTCTAAACAGTATAACAACTATTTACAAGGCATTTACATTACACCAGATATTACAAGGAATCTCGGGGTGATTTAAACTATATGGGAGGATACAGAAATTAAGTGCAAATACTGTGCCATTTTACACAAGGGACTTGAACATCCATGGATTCTGGCAACTTTTGGCAGTTCTGTAACTGATCCTCTGTGTATAATGAGTCAACTGCATATCTCAATTTTTAAAAACTGAAAGTGAAAAAAAGTGATACCTCTACCTATTTTGGACTCTTACAAATTTTGTTGCCAATTAAGTCACTGACAAATATAATTGAGAGACGACTGCTTATAAGCCCTGTCCTGGTACTGATTTCATAAGGAGTAACACCCAACCTCCTATGCACCTCATAGATGGAGAGAAACAGACAGGTATATACACGATTATAATTTAGGGTGAGACATGTCATAGTGTAGGTAAGTGGTGGCGAAATAACAGTTCTCCCTGGGTACTTAAGGTATATCAGGCACAATTCTAATTACTTTGTGTAAAATAAGTTATTTATTCTTCCTATCAACCTCATGAAGTGGGAACTCTTATTACCCCAAATTCAGGGAGAATGAAAACATGGAGAAGTATCAGAGCACACCCTTATCACCCACGAAGCAGCAGAGCCAGGATCTAGACCTGAAGCAACTGACTCCAGGACGTGCTCTTAACCAGCATGCTCCAGTGCTTACAGACAGGCTCTAGGGGCCCCCTGGGGTACAAGGAAGGGCCACTTAAGCTTGTATGCAGGGTTCTCAGTCATAGTTCACTTGCAATTTTGAGCTAAGATTTTTGTTCATCTCATTTTGTTGCAGGTTCAGGGCTACTCCATCTGTGCCCTGCCTAGGCAGCTTGTTTACTCATGGAAGCAATAAAGAAAGGGACAATAAGGAGGAGAGGCCCTTCTTACTCTGTAAACCACAGTTCTTTCAGGATGAGCATCATGGGGTTCACCGTGTGCAGATGCTCCTCGTTCCACTTGTGAGCACTCCTATAGGCACTGTGCCAGGGCACAGGGGCCCGGATCACTCTGTGAGGAAAAAGGCGGGGGATGCTCTCAATGAAGAGCCTCTTCCTCTCCATGGGATCCATGAGGATATAATCAACTAGAAGCAAGAAAGTAAATACCCTGTAATTAGGTAGTGACCTTCAACATCCTGCGCTTTTTTTTTTTTTTTTTTTTAATGTTGGGGGTTGAAACCAATGCCTTCATGCTGAGCTACATCCCCAGGCCCTCCTTTTTCTTTCATTTAAAAACAAATTTTTGGGGGGAGGGTTTTTTTGAGACAGGGTCTCACTATGTAGTTGAGACTGACCTAGAACTATATAGCCCAGGCTGGTCTCGAACTCACAGCAATCCTTGTGCCTCAGCCTCCCTAGTGCTGGGATTACAGGCGTGCACCACCACGCCCAGCTCATTTTTAAATTTTAAAACAAGGTCTCACTAAGTCACTAATTGCCCAGGCTGGGTTTGAACTTGTGATCATCATGAGTATCGGCCTCAGCTTCCTAGAGTTCTGGGATAACAGGCATCTGGCTTAACTTCTTGTGCTTTTATCATCAAACTCATAAGGCAACTAAGCCTTTCTCCATTCACACTGGGAAATGCTCCCTTGTTTGCAAGGTTACCAAAGTTCTATTCTGTTATCTTTCTGAAAAGATTTCACAGGGAGAAGGAATGGAAGTTCACAGTGTGAAGCGTTCAGAATCGGGTTGAGTCCTGTTACACTATTTAGCATTCTGCATGACCATGCACCTGTATTTGCTGATAGCTCTTTTGTCATTAATTATTCACATTAAGACAGTTACCCTGAAAAATCAATATAATGGATATCACCAGATATTTTCAAATGGAAATTTAGAAATCAAATTCTTACATGCTAAGGAAAGAAAAATTGGGAAAAGTATCATAAAAGAAGTCACTTTTGTACTGGGTCATAAATGAATGGGAGTTTGTTAGACCAGAGGAGAAAGGACAAGCACTGGGGACAGAGGGAACAGCGTGTAAGGAGGTAAAGTGCTACCACTACTATTTAAGAGTCTGTGAGCTATGCTGTGGCAGAAATATCAGGTACAAATGGTGAAGTTAAAGGTAATAAAATTGGAGAAAGAAGTCAGAGCTAGAAGTAAAGGCCCTGACATGTTTGTTCATGGAAGCTGGTTTCTGGGTGAGGGTAGACAAGAAAACTGATATCATTAGAAAGCTAGTTAGGAAAGTTTAAAAAAAAAAACTAAACAACTTGGTAAAGGAGATAGCAAGGTATAACTACTAGGATCACACCTCCACTTTGATGCTTCTCACATTACTCATTCATCATCAAATGTTTCCCAATGACTTGCTGTGTGTACAAGACGTGGCTAAGAATGAAGTGGAAGGAGAATCGATAATACATCCATCACATCCAAGTGCTAGTGGTCTAACAAGGAGTCAAGACCCATGGGAGATGAAGCAACAATGCCAGTGTCAAAACAAAAGGGAAAGAAAGGCATGGGAGAACTTGCAAAGCAGGAGTTGAAAGTAGAAACAAGAAGTGTTATAAATGCAGAGGAGGGAGGAACCACTAAGGCTTGAAGAGGGAAAAAAATGCTTTAGAGGAGATATAGATCTTGGACTAGATTTCAAAGTTTAAATAGGTTCTTGCTACTCGTAGTGTTTCTTCATCTGAGTTACCTGGGAACTAGTTAGAAATGTAGAATAGTGACCTCTGCCCCAAGACAGATCTACTGACTCAGAATGCATTTTGACAAGATCCATGGGTAATGTGGATGTACACTAAAGTAGGAAGAGCGAGTGTAGACATTAGTGATGGTGGCTGGGGTGAGAGAGCTTTTGAATTAAAGCTTAAATGATTGGGGTATATTCAATGGAACCAATGAAAGACAGTGCCTTCATGTAGGAGCCCCCTGTTTATGCCCAGCCTTACCAATGCTTTTCATGAGGCTACTGTAGTAGTCATTTTCTGTTTCACCCACAAGGGTGACCAGCAGGCGTTCCAAGGAGGGACTTGTCAGCAGCTTGTTAGAAATCAGCTTTGAAATCCGAACCATCACTCCGTCCTCCTCAGGGGCAATCATGTCTTTTCGGATTCCGTTGGTCAAATAGTAACAGTATCTCTTCCATAAACAAATTAGCAAGAAAATCATGATTGGGTACCTTGCCCACCTGCCCCACCCATCGGCTGACAAGGGAAACCTGTTCACACAGCACCCATCCTCACCCTTCGCTTCCTACAACCTTGCTTTTGGGGTCTGTTGCTTCACACTCACTGCAATGAGTCACGGTTCTTTCCCATGACTCTAGAAGATTCAACCAAAGCCAGAGAGTTTTCAGTGGGGAATAACACTTGTCAAATGCCATGCAGTGAGAGACAGTGCAGTGAGTACAAAGGCCAGGGATGAATACAGATGCATATCTGGTGACCTTTAAAGAGAAATAACGAGCTCCTAAAATGGACTCAAATAATTCACCCTTCTAAACAACGGTGATCCTCTACAAAGCACTCTGATCTGTGGCTTGTAGCTGCCAGTGGGGAAAAATCTTTCTAAAGTCTGAGTGACAGCCATGATGGTTCCAATCCAAACATGGGACTTTTGGGTTTAGAAAGCAACACAAACACAAAAACTAAACAAAAATGACCAATGTGATCCAAGGATTTCAGAAAATTTTGTTTATGTAGGGTTTGGCTCTGAGCTGCTGCTGGCTCTGAGAAGAAATAATTCCAGACAGAAGGAATAATTTCAGACAATGAGAGGCACAACTTGTGGAAAGGATTTGAAATTTGCATTTCAATGCCAACTATCTGTGGTCAAAAGGGGTCGCTGCCAATAAGTGCTGCTCCCTCTCCTCAAGCTTACTGGAAGCAGAAGCTCCTTGACTTGTGGCGAATATCCTAAGCCGAAAATGTACTGAACACACCTAACCTACAGAACAGCCCAGCTTCACAACACAATACACTGTAACAGTACCACTTTGTGACTGTGCGGCTGCAGCTCACTGTCACTGCCACATATGACAAGAGAGGAACACACTGCATATCGCTAGCCCAGGAAAAGATCAAAATCCAAAATATGCTTTCTTTTGAGTGCATATCACTTTTATACCATTGTAAGTAAAAATAAAAAAAATCCTAAGTTAGACCATCACAAGTCAGGATCATTGAAACAGTACTGACAAACAGTATTCACAAATTTCCTTGATTTTAAGAAATGTATAGGGGTGGGGGGGAGTTAAGGCTCCTGCTAAAATGAAGATACCAAGCCCTATTAAGGCAGTTGAAGGATTTTAAAAAGCATTCTCAGTGATTCTTATCTGCAGGCAAGTTTGAGAAATGTTGCGTAGCTCGTTGCTTAATTTATCTACACTCCAATTTCCAAACCTGGACAATGAGGATAATCATGGAACCAAATCTTGAATGGGTTCAAGCAACTAGCAGGTTTAGCACAGAATTTTGCCAAGAGCAATACTCAGTCACTGTGAGTTTTTATTATTAAGTATTTTATTACACACAATGAGCCTAAAAGCTGCTTGTCTTTTAAGCTTTGCTCTAAAGTCCAAGAATACACTAAGGGGAGCGGGCCTGGTATGGTGGGGACAAGGCTGAAGGTGTGGGCTCTGGTCCCTTATGTATCACTAATTACCTGTGTGTCCCTGAAGAACTGACTTCATCACTTTGGGTCTTAGTTTCCCTAGCTATAAACTGGGGACAGGCATCCCTCCCTATCATCCATATATTTGACAACTATTAACGTTGTTCTTTTAAGGCGTCTACCTGGAGCCAGGCAGGTAGTATAATAAATAAAAGTTGGCTGGATGTAACACAATTGTAAATGGTAGTGAGGACAATGACCAATGGGAGAATATATTTTTTATTTAATAGAAGAAGCTACTACAGAGTTCCAAATATTTTAGCTTTTTGAAGAGAGGTTGAAAATCTAGCTTGAGATTTCCCTCATTTTAAAAATACATCTATAGTTCATATTTGGCTGTGACAGGGCTGCCAGAGAAAATATAGGACACACTTGGATATACTTATACTAAAAAAAGCATTCATTGTTTATTTGAAATTCAAATTTAACTGGGTGTCCTGTTTCTTGTTTGGAACAAACCAGCAACCCTGGACTATGGGCCAACATTTTGCAACCTATTTTCCAAGAGGACCCAAAGGCACCAATTTCTAAGACTTGCTAGGTCAGATCTCTCCCTTTCTCTCTCCTCCTCTTCTTCCTCTTGTCTTCTACCTCCTTTCTTTCTCTTTCTCTCTCTGGTAACACACACACACACACACACACACACACACACACACACACACACCCCTCCCATATAGTACTATCATGCC